GCAGGGGCATTTTGGACAAATTACTTACAAAGTCAGCTTCCCATAAAAATGATCAAAAGTCAAATTGGGAACTTTAAATCCGGACGGAGGGAGTATATATATATATATATATATATATATATATATATATATATATATATATATATATATATATATATATATATATATATATATATATATATATATATTATTAGGGTGCTAATATATGGAAACTAAATCTCCCATATTAATGCCTAAACCACCCATATTAATGGCCAAATCAAAGCATGCCATATTCTTAGGACTTAACTAAAATACTACTACTATTACTAAGCACCCTTCTCAAGTTGGAGCATATATATTTATCATGCCCAACTTGTTACATAAATACATAACCCGGGTGCCATTTAGTGCTTTAGTAAGGAGATCTGCTAATTGATCTCCTGTCTTCACAAATCCAGTAGAAATCAATCCCTTTTGTATTTTCTAAGGAACAAAGTGATAATCTACTTTCATATGTTTCGTCCTTTCATGAAAAATTGGTTTGAATGCAATATGAAGATGACAAAGCGAACAGAAGTGAGCTTGGCCATGGGAGAGACACTCTCATTATAATCCACACCATAGGTTTGAGCATATCCTTTGGCTACCAGTCGAGCTTTGAGATGAGCCACAGACCCATCAGGTTTAACCTTAATTGAGAAGAGCCACTTGCAACCAATAGATTTCTTGTCGTTCAGCAATGAAACTAGACTCCAAGTATGATTGTGCTCCAAGGCTTTCATCTCTTCTATCATGGCAGTACGCCATCCAGGATGAGATAGTGCTTCTCTAACAGTTTTAGGAAGAGAGATAGAATGTAGAGAAGAGGCGAGTGCACAACTAGTAGAAGACTAATGATCATAAGAGACACAATTGGAAATAGGGTAGGTACAAGACTGCTTACTTTTGCGCAAAGCGATGGGTAGATCATTAGCATGATCAGGATCCAACGACAAAGTGCTCGGCTTAGGGTGTGAGACTGGTGTAGGGGTAGGTGGTTGATCAGTCAATGTGGCAGGAAAAGATTCATGGACAACTGAATGTGCAACTAGTTTTTTTCTGCGGGAGTAAACCTGAATGATGGGAGGCTCACCAACAGAGGGGATTGTAGTATCAGAGGTAGTGTAGAACCCTCCCCCTCATTTACAGAATCTGTAGGTGAAGGAAAAGGAACATGCTCATGGAAGCTCACATCGATGGAGACAAGATATCGACCAAGACTAGGACAATAACAATGATATCCCTTTTGGACCCGGGAGTACCCCAAAAAGATGCCCTTCAAGGATTTTGGATCTAGCTTTGTGACACATGGACGAACGTCCCTTACAAAACATGTACACCCAAAGATCTTTGGTGGGACTGGAAAGAGACTATGAAATGGTGACTGGCCACCAAGGACACTCGATGGAAGGCGGTTAATCAAGAAACATGCCGTGGCAACGACATCAGCCCAAAACATCATGGACACTTTTGATTGAAACAAGAGTTCCCGTGCAGTTTCAAGCAGATGTCGATTTTAGTGTTCAGCTACCCCATTTTGTGTATTCTCACCTCAGAGCACAATTCCTCCTTCAACCCGTTAAGGAAAATCCCGAGCAGGCAGTGATCGGGCCAATTTTTCACCCTTGCTACTCGTCGCGCCCATTCCACACGATATTCTTGGACAGTTCCCACCTGTTGAACGGCTGCGAGGTACTCATCTGGATTTTGGTATTCGGGAGGTCCGTATTGTTCTTGCAATATCTTGACCATTTCATCCCAGTACCGCACGTTCTGATAAAGCCCAAGAAAACATGTCCAATGCATCTCCTTCAAGATACATCGACGCTATGTCCACCTTTTCTTCATCTGGTGTTTCATAGTACCGAAAATATTTCTCTGCTTTCAAAATCCAACCATGCGGGTCACCTCCTGAGAATTTGGGAAACTCTATATTTGCATACAGAAGCCGGAAGTGTCGCCGTGAATGAGATTCTGATTCCTCCTCGGAATCGTCAGCATAGATCTTCTTCTTCTTTATTGTTGGATTGCGGTTGTGGACTTCTAAAGCTGCTACCTTGTCTCGTAACTCGACCAGAATGTCTAGTCGGGCAGCGATGGCGGCCAAGGTATCACTCTGTTATACTAGGTTGTTGCCGACATCAGGATTGCCATCAGTTGCGGAAGATCGATTGTTCACCATAGTTGGGAAAGATCTAGGCTCTGATACCAAAATTATAGATACCAAAAACTGGAAACTAAAAACAAGAACAAATCTTCTAAATCTCTTTAAATCAAGAATCTCGATTTATTGAGACTAAGAAGCCCAAGAGAATCTCTTAAAATATAAATCGTAATATTTCTCCTCCCCTTTAGCATAAACTGGGTAAGGGTATGAATAGTGCAGTAATACAAGGGAAATAACAGAAAAGAGAAACTGACTCCTTGGGTTTAGATAGTGATCCCATTATCCCACAATTATTTCAACGGACTCTAACAACTTTGACTGACTCAATTGCTAATAAAAAGGGATATTTTAAATGACTCACAACATTGACTGGCTCAATTACTAATTTAAAGGGATAGACTAAGATTTAGGTAAATAAATAAATAAACATGACCAAGTCATAAAACATGACTAAGTCAAATGCTTATTCCTGCGCCGCTGATAAGTGAGCAGTGGCTTATTGAAGTTATTGGTACCAGATCTCGATAAACAGAAAACAGAAATCTAAAACAAGAACTTATTGGAAATCCTTCTCCAATTAATTGAAAAACTTTGAATACATAAAATACAGAGAAACTATCCCTATTTATAGATGAGTTAACCTTGTCCACCAAGTTAAAGCATCAGCCTTGCTCTCCAAGCATAACATCTCCTACTCCTACAAGCTATGATAATCTCAAATCCATCTGAGATATATCTCCTAAAATTATGACTGACTCTACCCTAATTATTAACAAATAAAGACTTCAACATAATTACAAAATAAACCCCCTAACTATTACTGAATGTCAAGATTGGTCCAACATAGTCGTATTCAGAGTCATATCACATACTCAGTCAAACCTTTGGATTCCGATGTCTACTGCCATACTTCCAACTTATCATTTAGACCCTCAGGTGTCTCGAGCAACCCTCTTTGTGTACTCTTGTTAGTATTCTTGAACCAAATCATTTAGCTTGATGCTGCAAAGGTCATCTGGCTAATGGCTATTGGCATCTTGGAGGTCCATAATGCCCTGCAATACCTTCACCAATTCGTCCCAGTAAAGCATCATCTGCTCAGAGTTCATCCAAAAGAACAAATCCAGTGTGTCACCTTCAAGATACATCAAGGCTACATCAACCTTGTCACCTTCAGGGGTTCCGTAATATCTGAAATATTTTTTCCCTTCAATTTCCAACTTTAGGAATTAATGCCTGGAATATTTTTTCCCTTCAATATCCAACTTTGGGAATATCCTCCGCTAAATTTGGAAATTTGATATCGCTGCAGGTGGCTTTGAACCTCTTCTGGATACCTCAGATTCATCATTGCGGTCCTCACCTTGATGAGAATGTTTTTTTGCCTTTGTCTTGCTTAGCAGCACCTTCTGACTCTGCTTCAAGGGTTGCCACCTTATTTTCCGAGACATCCAAGATCTCAAGTCGAGCAACAATGATGGCCAATGTGTGTGACTGTCTGGTGCAGTAACAGCAGAGGTCAGAGGAAGCCACAAGATCATTAGTGTTAGGGGAATTGGAACAAGTACTCACCATTTTTTTGAACGAGGCTCTAATACCAAATAATAGTAATGAAAGTGGAAAAGAAACGATAAAATCTATTAAGAATGTTTTTAGCGAGGATCTCACCCAATAACTCTCAATTGCCAACAATTGAGAACCCCCCATTGAAAATTAATAATATGTTTATTTTTCAATTATGGAAGTACTAGAGATAGATCAGACTTCATAGAGTCTGATTTCACCTCAATAATAAGATAACTGAAAATCAAAAAAAAAAATAGAGATGATAACAGACTAATCCAATAACCATATTTATTATATTCTAAAAATCAGCAACAAATAAAAACAGAATAAAACTCCTACAAGAAAAACAGTATTCCAACAATTAATAATCCCTCTCTCTGTCCCTTTTTAATATTCACCTTTAGTCTTTTACAATTCACATGGTCAAACTATAGTCTCTTTTTATACATATTTTTATTGACCATTTGATAAAATAGCATAGTCATGTCACCTCTTTTTTTGCAAAAAATTTGATGTTTTTAAATATATAAGTTGTAACTTTTAACTTTTCACCAATAATTGCATAAATTTAATTGGGAATAATTTCACCAAAACATTATAAGCTGAACTAGGAAGATTAAATAAGGATGGAGGGAGTAATAAGTATGCTGTGTTAACTTGGATTCTTACCAATATCCGTGTTTGCATGTATAAACAGTTAAGATGAACATGAAAGCAAGTGATCTGCAATTCCTATGGAAAAACTTATCTTTTTTAATGGTGAAGAGATCTTCGTATGTCATGCAATTTGTCCCATACATATCTCATGGAAATTGTGTTTATCTTTATGGACTTCAGGCTTGGTTCATACAAGCATACCTCGATTAGATTTACACGTGTAAAGTGACACTATTCCTTGGTTGTTTCTTTTGTTTTCAGTGCTTCCCCAATTGAGGAGTACAACTTCAATGGAGTTGGGCTGTGATGCTCGGGGCTTTTCTCGTGCTGGTAATGACACGAAGGTTTGGTATTGTGTTGTTCTAGCTGGAAGGCAAAGCCAAGAACTTAATGAAATGCGTGAAGTGAGCACCTTCTTCACGTTAACTTTTAAGAGATGCGAACCTGTTAGGTTGTTTCACACAAGGGAAATGTTTGCTTCATGCACCTTCTCTATGGTCATGTCTTTTGGTTACATAGCCTAAGTAGTAATCATGATAATAGAGATGAAAATACTAACTTCGTCCCATAAAGAACTTCACACTTTTCCTTTTTGGATGTCCCAAAAAACTTCACACTTCTTTTTCCTTTTCAGGAATGGAATATGTGGCTTACAAAATTCTTTCTGTTAAACAATTTCCAACCACATTTTCCTTTTAATACTTCTCTCAAACTCCCTGGAATCAAAAGAGTAATGTTCTTTATGTGAAAGAGGGAGTTTAACGTATTGGTGTTCGTTGTCTTTAGTTAGTTTTTACGGGGATTGGGGACACACTATTAAAAATTCTCCCAAGATGCTCAAGATTTGTAAATAAGCACTAAAATGCATTCATATAAATTTTATTCATGAAGTTAATGTAACCACCTAACCCATGGTAAAAGACCATGCGCAGGGTGCAAGAAACACTGTCAAATGGAGATTTAAATGCAGTTGATCAAGATACTCTCTCAACTATAGCAGAACTTGCTCTGAAAGAGAAACGGTTGACATTTACTTGGCTCGATGGAGAAAAACAAAAGGTAAGAACATCATTCTTTTATTCAAGTTTATATATTTATACACAACCACTTTGTGGGTGCGTATTCATGTATTTATATGTATGTATATGTTGGAAGTAATTCTCATTCATCATATTCTGGAATGACAGAGATACTGCTTCTTTTATATCAACTCGGAAAGTAGTTATGATACATGTGGACCTAGATATGACATTACAAATGTTGCAAAGATGTTTATTGTTCGTTATTCAAGGAATGCTACCAATGAAAATAATAAGGATTCACCTAAAAACCGTTATGAAGCATTGCTTGCCGATGATGTTGATTCTGCTTCCCAACTTGTCGCACATTATAGCGGTCCAAATAAACTTCCAGAGGTGAGAACCTCTGCGCTGGCGATTGTTCTTTCTTAAAATTACTTGCTGCATTAGTTGATTTCAGTTTCAACTGACATCCCTTTCTTTCCTTCTCTTCCTTATACTACCTCCATACAATAATTAGAGATTTAGAGCCCTATTTTACAAATATATAGAACCTTTTCCTTTTAGTAAGAAGTAAAAAGGTTATAAGACTCTTAACTATATACATTTGTATGCAGTAGAACAAGTAAATTTTTTTTAAATATATAATCTATATTTTAACTTTATATGTTGGTTTAACTAAATACGTAGTATAACATATTCATCCTGTTTGGCTTATGTTTTTAAGGATGATGCTAAATCCACACCTCATTTGCCTATATCCACTCCATTTAATAATAAATGGACAATTGTGTCCTTCACCTCTTTCCTTTCATTTTTAAAGTTAAGGGTAAACATGTCTTTGTAATATAAGTTGGGTGGATATAGCCAAATGAGGGGGGAATTTAGCAATAATCTTTTTTTAATTAAAAACATCGAATATAAAAAAAAGTAGCCTCTTTGCTTCATAATCGACTCTTTTTGTTGGGACAAAAATATGTTGAGAAACGAGGCTCTTTTATGGGACATGAGGAGTATATAGTAATTATATTATCACTATGGTACTTAAGTTTGGTAGTGTAGTAGAATGTTTCTTAGCTTAGTACAACAACAACAACAACCTTGTTGAATCCAAGAAGAGTAGGGTCTGGGGAGGGTGTGTGTATGCAGACGCTACTTCTACTCGAAAGTGGAGAGGCTGTTTCCAAGAGACCCCAGCTCAAGTAACATGGATATCACAGAAAGCATAGAGAATGCATGCAAAAAAAGGTAATATACACTCCCATTAAGCTCTATATTTTCCAGGCAACCTCTGCAGGAGGTGAATGGCTTTCATGGTTGATCGGCCAGACATGAACCAAACTAATTCTTGGAAATGCACACATCATTCTGCAGCCTGGCCTTAATAACACGCCCCAAACATTCCTGGTGTGTGGCTAAGAAGTTTGATGCCTCTATAATTCTCACTACTTTGAATATCATCTTTACCCCTGTACAATGGGACCAACACACTCTCCCTGGACTCGTCAGGTATCCTAGTCATCCTGAAAATAATATTGAAGAGCTTGGTTACCCAAACCCACCCACGGTTGCCCACAGACTTCCAAAACTCTACAAGAATCTCATCCAGCCCCAAGGCTCTCCTGTTTCTCATCCCCAAGATGTCCCATGCCACCACCTCCTAGCAAATGTTCCGACAATACCCAAAGTCCCAATGTCTCTCTGGCTTCCCTAGCTCCCCCAGCGGTTTGACACCTCTGCTGCCTCGAACAACACTCTGCGATTGCAGGCCTTCACACATCTCACAGGTTCCATATCTTGAGCCTTCCTCTCACGCGCCTTAGCTAGCCAAAAAACCTTTTATTGCCGCTGCATTCTTTGTTCTTGTAACCTCTAACTTAGCTTCCTTACGGGCAATCTTATATTTTACTCTGAGAGCCACCCTATCCTCCTTGTCACTTCAGTCCACATACCTTGTTTTCCTGAACTTATGCAACCAACTTTGGGATTTTCTTCCCATCCAAGCTCCCCCAGCGGGTACATGGAGTGGTACAATAGCCAAGAAAATGTGTCTTACAAGTTTTGTGTGGAAGCACTCGACTATGCTAGAAAGCACATGAGTTAAACCACACTAAAAGATTGAATCCAATCGATTAGTTTGTTCAACCTTAGATCTTAAATCTTATTAACTTATCATAATAGGTTAGTATAAATAAATTGAAAACAGAGATACAACCACAAGAACATTTTTGTTGACATTCCGGTCAGAGTTTGTGTATAAGAACAAGTGTTTCTCTTCTACTCACTCTCTCTATAAGAATCTCATAAAGCAAGTATATTAGGAGCCAATAGAATCTCTAAATGATATTGTATATTTCCTGATGTCCACCATTAACATAGCCTGAATCTATTTAAAAAGAAACTAACAACTAAAAAGAGGAAACATTACTCATAATGGAGAATATGGGCTCCAAGTGACCCTACGCATTTGGGAACACATAGGTAGTGCTCCACTAATGTGGGGAACTTTTTTACACGAAAAGATTAATGAGAAAATATAAGAAGGTATACATGATACGTCATACACTTGACATAATATATGAAGGTATATAGGATAGGTCTTACATAATATATTTTAAGAGTTTAAGAAAAAGAAAAAATAGTACTCTATCCATATCTAATAAAATGGTCTTATTACTATTCTAGACTTTCAATAACTTTTGTTTGTGTATGTGTTTTCATTGATCATATGATAACATAAAATTTTCATGTCACACTTGTTTGTAAAACTTTTTGGTGTATGGTTTAAATATGTAAGTTGTACTTTCTATTTCTATATAAAATCATTTTAAAAAAAGAATATTGCACCTTGGAAAGGAACGACTTTTAAAGGACGGAGGAAGCATCTTAAATTTTGAATATTCAAAGGTTTCTTGCTTTTTTTCCCTTTTAGCCACTTGAGATAGAGTCTATGGAATATGACATGGTTCTCATTACTAAATTTTTATTTTCAAATTTTCTCACCGTGAACCATTTCATATTTTGATTGACAGATCATACAATGGATATCTGAGATTATTAAAAATGGAGACTCTAACGATCTACCATCTTTTGTAAGTTAATTTCTTACTTTGGACTTCTATGTGGTTTAGTTTCTTGACAATGGAGCTTGAAGAGTCATTATTGACAATGCATTAACTTCGGGTAAACAAAAGACTAAATCGAAATGACGCATTTAACATCCTTTAATTCTTACATTCTACGAGGATTTTGGTAGTAAATGGAGCAATGCATCAAGTGCCTAACTGAAACAACTTCTATGTTGCATGATCTTAACTCTTAGACCCCAACAAAATTAGGATTATACCTGGTTTTGATGACGTAGTTTCTGCTTGTAATACATTTTTAATTTCATTGATGTCTTATAAAAGGCAGTCATTGCATCAAACCATATGTAAGATGTCTCCGGTGTCATAATTTCTTTTCTATGGCGGGAGACAGATTCTAAAAGCAACTAGGCAGAGCCTAGGTGACACATAAAACCAAGGCATATTTAACTCGATTTTCAGCATCTTATTTTTATAATATAACTAATTTCCAAAGCAGTGTACCTTCAAATTCACCAAGCATATGTACATATCATATTATACAAGAACATATCAAATGATAAAAAATTTAATGATCACATTACAAGTTTAAAATGTAAACCCAACAATCCAATGCCATTCCGATGTTCCAAGCAATTCAATTGGTTTACTGGCATTTAGTTTAGACTAAAAATGGTTTTAGACTAGGTTTCTCTTTGCTCAAAGAATTGTAAATTTTTCATGTAATATCAAACTAAAGAAGGTTTTTCAAAAATAAACAATTAAATAAATTAGGGTAGCACGTAGCTGCCTAATGTCATAGAAGATTTTTCTGGTCATGGGTGATTGGGGATGTTTCCATTAGGGCGCCACATACCAGCCCAGATTTTTTAGAGCACTGGGAGATGCCTTTAATCTTTCCTTTTGTTTTAAATGTGTACTTGTTAATTAGTCTCTTCTCAGCAACCGTAATAAAATCCACCTAGTTTAAGTCAATGCCAATCTGAGCCTATGCTTTGGAATGAGTTTCCTTTGGCATTTGTTAGTACAGTAGGGATTAATGCTTGAAGTCGTATCTCAGGTTTTGTAATGTGCTATGGGTCTCTCGATCTGAATAACATTTCCATTCCATTGTTTACTGATTTTGAGTATACATATACCAAAGTATGTCTGCTTTCATCGTCTATTCTCAAGCATTTTGTGTTTTTCAGAAAACCAAAACCCCCGAGCTGGTTCCGGAGGATGCAAATTCCATTTGGTCTACTGGTTCTGAAAAAATCTTTGCCCCTACCAATGGAATTAAGCCAAAGGTCAAAGGTTTTGTGAATCAAATTCATGATTACCTAGGGGACCCAAGGATTGGACCTATCTTACTTCTGGGAGCATTGGTGTCGTTCGGTCACATTTGGCTTCGTAGAAGTCAGTCAAGTAATGTAAATCAGACAAATGGTTCACCAAAAGATACAATGAAGCCAAAACCAAAGGTCTGTACTTGAGTCATTTCTCTGATTTTCTCTTCGCTCTATTTTTTTGTCAATCCTCAATGGTTGCTGTTCGTCCCCAGGAGAGGGAGAGGCCAAACTTAAGGAAGCAGCTGCCGAGAAACCAACTGATACCGCCTTCAATAACTGATGTCCTGCCAAAAGATGCTTATGAGATGGAATTCTCAGAGTCTGATACTGAGTGAGTATACTTTAGACCCGCAACGACAAAGGGAGTTTATAGAAGTTCGAGGTTGGTGCTTTGAAAGCTTAACATTTTGATAGGAACCCCCTGCTATACACAATCCAGAGTTCGCCCTTAGAGTTTGCCATACACAATCCTGATTCTACAATTTATTTACTTTGTTTTCTGGTATTAAATTTATGCAGAGCATCAATTATTTTATATTTTTTATTTAGAAATATATGCCCTCCGTCTAAAAATGAAATTCACGGGCTACTTTACCATGTTTGACTCAAGTTATTTTGACTTCAATTTTTTTGAAAACTGATGTAGAGTTTTTTAAAAATTTTTTATACGGAGTATTAAAAATTATACTCACTCAAAAAAAAATTACAGCAAAAGTTGTACGAAATAAAATGTGACATGATTTTTATTACGTGAATAGCAAAAATTAAAAAAAAAATTGAATAAAGTATCGCAATGCAAATAGGGAATGAGAATTCATTTTGGGATGGAGAGTTGAGTCACCCTATACTTATAATGAAAATTGCGTTGATACATTAATGGCCCCTTTGATCCGCTTTGGAGATGTGGAAAGACAGTTAAAATTTGAGAGAAATGATGTGAATTTTAAAATAAGGAATAAAAGTGTTTAAGGAAAACAGATAATTGGACTGGGAAGCTGTAAATCAGTGAGAACTTAGGCTGGATCTAGCGCCCTTCGCCAAGCAAGTTATAATGGAAATCGATACCGTCAGGAAGTGTCATTCATCTGATGTTGTAGTTCACTAGCAATCTATCTTCACGTGAAAGCTGCTCAGTGAATGATGCACACAGTCTTACTAGTTTCAAGTTAGCTTCTACCGATTATCTTATTTATTTTATTAATTTTGTATCGTTTTACTTACTTTTCTCATTTTTCGTTATTCTTTATATTTTTTATATTTTTTTAAAGTAAGACTAGTCTTTAAAAAAAGAAAAAGCAATGATTGAAGTAGAAAGTTATTTTAAAAATTTAAACGAAAATATTAGAAAAAATTAAAAAATAAAAATTCATCAAAAATAATCTCAACTTTCATTTTGTTGCGCAAAACAAGTTGTTGCCGTTGAGCCGCCGTTATTTCTTAACGGTGATCCAAAAGTCACAAATTTTAGTAAAGTTGATATTGTTATGCATCACAGTGAAATGTGAGACTATTTTTAAAAAGTCGAGTAAAATTGAGTTTATTCTGGTAGCAGCATTTTTAGTCTTAGGATTTCAAAACTTGAATTCCTTGTCTCACCAAATAATCTTTTTGAAAAAAATGATATTTGAGATCTGAAGTCCCGTATTTGGATGGTTCACGAAATAGGTTCTAAGTTTTTTTAGGTCATTTCGGTGGATTACATTCAGGCATATCACACGTGAGTAAATTCTTACGTGATCCTAAGATCTTATACACCTTAGTACAATTGATATCATAAAGTAATTGTGTCTTTCACAAAAAAGAAAAGATCAACTTGTCAGTTCATGAAAAGTGTCAGAAAATACACATGTAAAATGTGGACCTTCCGACACTTTTGTTGGAAAATCCACATTTTATGTGGACCTTAGAACTATTGAAGATTAACTCATCAGCGTGATGAAAGATATGAAACACTGTTATAGTTCTTTCGGCACTATTACTAGTACATACTACCACGGTCCCAAGAATAAAAGTTCTCTATTGACTCTATGGAATATAAAAATATGAAGAAAAGTGAAATTTATGTGAATAAACTTGTTAAGGAGAAGTATATTTCATTATATTGGGATAAACTAAAAAAGGTCTAAAGTTTTTATTGTATGAGCTTTGTTTTCTTAATTTAAAAAGAAAATAAATAGTATTTTTTTCATCTCAATATAATCACTTTTTTATGTTTAATGAAGTTTGACTGAATTTATTTTCAATTCAATTTATTTAAAAATGGTATAAATTTTAAAATTAAATGTAATATTAAAAAAATACATTGATTATCTATGAAGTAAGGAGTGATACGAGTATGTCATTTTTACAAATAATTAATGACAATAAGTAAAGAACTAAGAAAAAGTTTGACCCATGAATAATAGAGTGAGACGATTATCTTGGGTAAGTCTATTTTGAAACTTAAATTCAGATTTCAATTCAAATTTGACACAAATTGCATATTTGGTAGTCTATTTTGAAACTTAAATTCAGATTTTAATTCAAATTTGACACAAATTACATGTTTGAAAGTCCAAAAAAAGAGGCCAAATTCCTCTAATTTCAAACAAAAACCAATTACAAATTCGTATTCCCCTCCCCTTGTAATTTGATTTCCAGACCCAAATGAATTCAAACGAATTCTAGTTTCAAAACACTGTCTAACCCAATGTCTGATAAAAAAATATGGAAAGAGAAGGAAAAGAAAATGATACGGAAAATAATTTTTTGTATCTAGTTTGAGAGCAAAAGAGAGAAACCTCTTTCTTCGTCTTTCATTTCAAATTCAACTATTGACCATTGGATAGAAATACTTTCAGGTAATTATTTGGTTTGAAAGAGTTCAATGAACAAAGCCAGCAAGAACTACTACCTCTGTCCAAGTTTTATAACTGAAAAAAAATGGAACTACTAACTAATATCCCTCTGTGAACCATCTAGGAGAAGTGTGTATCGTTCTACGACGATGAAGGTTGCATCTCCAACTTGTTACTCACACTAACGATTTCTTTGCCCGACGAAGATTCTGCTTCCTGTTTCTCGTCAGCACTCATATGTTGAACGGGTGGCGGCTCTACAATCGTTACTGATGGAGTAGTTTCAGCCAGGTGATTCCTCATCTCTCTGTGCTCCTGACACACAGCACACCAGTGGAAGCAGCAATGTACCAAGCATGGTTCACAAGGTGCATCCTGGAAACACAATCCCAGACAGAGTTACAAATCAGCTTTGCCAATTCTCAAAGATTTTTTTGCCTAGTTGAAGAGAGTATGTGTAATATATACATATCGCAGAAAATATTCATTGTTTCATTCAAGCAAATTTGGATCACCTTTAGATGGTATTTTCTCTGCAATGCTTGCCTCCCCATGCCTGTATAGATGCCACAGACCCACCACGCAAAGAGTAGACCCTCGGTAATGAGGCACATTGTATGGGGATCAATGCCGCCATGCAATGCTGCTGTCGCAACAGCAAGAGTGATGCCGCCTTCAACACAAATTACATGGCCAAAACATGCCCCTCTTTGGGATATTTCCTCATTAAGCCTTTCGACATTCCGCCCGAACAGTACACATGGACAAAATAGTCCAGTCAAGCCTACAGAATGAAAACCCAGTTGAAGGGTGCATAAGATTGCCAGGTCTGACTCACCTGTTTTTCAAATTTGATGACAAGACAAAGCATTGTTTTGATACATACATGATCACTGATGTATCATATATATGTTAGATCTTATATGATTATGTAGCAAAAAGTGGGAAATATTTTTTAAAGAAACTTAGTTTCCACTCAAAGGAACATGCTTAAGATTATAAGAAAGTAACTTTCTGATGTCAAGTGGGATAAAATCTGAGTACAAGCAAGCAAAGAATAACTGAACTAAGCTTAGAATACATGCATGATCAATGATGTATCGTATGTTAGATCTTATATAAATATGTAGCAAAAACTGAAAAATATTTTAAAAGGAACTTAGTTGTCACTTAAAGGAACATGCATAAGATTATAACAAAGTAACTTTCTGATGTCAAGTGGGATAAAATCTGAGTACAGGCAGGCAAAGATCAAACTGGAATCAGCTTAGACTACACAGATCAAGTCTGTGTGTGTGTAGTAAGACTCCCGGATGTCTCATAGACACATTTGGCCCTTGCTAATCCAAATTATCGAACGTTTTTCCGTTTTAGAGTGACCCCCCCCCCCACCCCCGCATCTATTTTTTCATTTTACAGGGCTAAAGCCTAGGACCTTGCACTACGGCCTCAAATGGTCGGGTAGAGATAACTGAGTTCATCTTTGCTTACAAAATTTAGATAACACAAGTTTTCTTTCATGCAAGTATAAAATTTAAAAAAATGGATCTCCTACCATTCATAGTTGCACAATGATGATGTATACCTTCTGGGTTATACCCCAATCATTTGAGCAAGTATAGGGCACAATATAACATTAAAACATTGAGATCCAAAATGAAGGCATCCATTTTAAAAATTGAATAACTTAGCAACCACTTGAGAATGGTTTCTTTCTGCTGAAATTTTTGTGTCCTTGCTCTGAAGTTCACTGATGTAGACATTCACTTGAACAATGTCCAGTGGACCTTGCACAGTGATACTATATTGAACAATTAAAACATATGGTACTACATTGGAAATTCACTATGTTTTAGTACTATATAGTTAAAATTCCCCTTAGCATATAGGGTATTAGATATAGCACTTACAACTATCGGTATCTTCTGTGCAACCGAAAATCCCAGTGGTCCAATCTTCATCAGCAGGAGGTTGGTAGCTTTCAGGCAAGGGTTGCCCACATTCAATGCATTTCCGGCAACTCAGCTGTCCGCGATTAAACACACCTCATTAGCTATATTTGTCCAGAAGATTTGTATAATTAGCAATTAGTGTTTGTCAATATAAGAATCTATCAAGATTCGCCATGTTCAATGATACATTGTTACTTCTGCACTGAATAAGCAAATTGCAAACATGCTAAAACTTATGTTTATAAACAGAATCTCTAACCTTCACAGTATAGATTTAGATTTGTGGAGGGATTATAACAAATAAGAACAATGATCCTTGTAAACACAAAACAAAGTGCCAAGCAAAGCAATACCCATAAATATGACGAAATCTGATCAATTTGGGAATAAGATTTCAAGCCTGAATCAAATTTAGAGTAAATCATAAATGTAATAAGGCACAGCGTGCAAACATGATGTATACGCTATACGTACCTTGTCAACATCAATGGGCTGGTTGAGCTCGCCCGGGATGATGTTATCGACGGCTTCTTGATCCTTGGTGAGCTCCACGTATTTGCCCTCCGCCATTTATGATCATCGATCGATTTGATATTGCTTACTGTTACTGGAATATATATATGTATTGCTATAGGGCATGCAAAAATGGGATATCCCATTAAACACATCCCAGTAGTACTCATTCTGGAGTAGAATAGTACTTATTCTCGCACAAATATAATTAGCGTGATACTCATTTTCATACATTGGTTTAATATAATTATAATATTCATCTATAAATAATGTAGTGTTCATTCTAAAACAAAATAGTACTCATTCTCAAATAATTTAGTGTTCATTCTCATGTAAAATAAAATCCATACCATAAATAATTTCATTATTGTAACCAAAATTGGGTACAACCGGATGTATAATATAATTTGCCGTGTTTGCCTCGTATACAAATGGGGTACCCTATTTTGGTGTAACTCTAGGTTTATTCATCCTAATAACATGAAATTGCTTACACGAATCAGGGGGGTACGCAACAAAAAAATGGATTTTTGTAAAATATTTTCAAAATATTTTTTTATCTAACTTATATTGAGTATATAATGTAAATTTTATTTAGTTATAAATCAAAGCTTGTGCGAGTTGGCTACAAAAAGTTAAAAGTAAAAAAATTCTCTAGAACGTGCAGGGCAAACAAGAAGAAAATGTTAATGTGAACCCTTTACAAACCTTAGTTATATTATAAGTTACTCCCTCCGTCCGGAAATATTTTTTTCATTTGACTTTTCTTGGTCAAAGTTTATAAACTTTGATTATGATATGTGGAAAAAATACATTGTATTACGATATAACTTTAATATGAATATATTCATTTTGAAATATAGTTTTCAAATATAAAATTTTTATAAAATATACTCCCTCCGTCCACAAATAAACATCTCGTTTACTTTTTACAAGGTCAAACTTTATGCATTTTCTTGGTCTATTTTCGTCACTCATTTGATAAAATAATGATGGGTATATCCTTATACCCGACCCGGACAACCGAAAGGGACAAGTCAAAATATGACCGGTCACTTTTATCAATCACCAAATGAGGTTAACTCTTCGATTGGGACGGGTCAAAAGTTGACCGGTCACTTCCACTAAAAAAGTGACCGGTCACATTTTGGGCGATAGCCAAAATATCACCTAATGTTGTGAAGAATTCAAGAAGACCAAAGAGACGGGTTGAGCTCAAGAAATGACCGGTCAACCTTTGAGAAAAAAGGTGACCGGTCATATCACTTTACTTGGCTAACATTGGTCCAGTCTCTTAGGCATGGTGAACCACTGCACGTCAGAGGTCAAGGGGACACCCCGCCGCTCATCCATCACGAGGCACACAGTGAAAGGGATGTTTGTCATTCTACAGGGTTGAGTGGATTGAGAATATCCATTTTAGTCTTTGATTGAACAGTGCTTTTTGGTTGTATTAGTAGCAAGTCCATGATTGTACAGTGCTTCCATTATCTACAGTGACCTTCCCACGAGCTTCCTATTTTGTCCATGGATGAACAGGGGA